TATGTATCTGTTTGTGTGTGTGTGTGTGTGTGTGTGTGTGTGTATGTGTGTGTGTATGTGTGTATGTAAAGAATTATGAGCGTCATGCGGTTTTATTGTATTACCTTTTTTAACAGTCTCATTCATTCAAACACACTCTTAGACTCAAACTAAGCGAGTGGTTGAGGAACGCTACTCTATAATATTATATAGTAATTCCTACGTTATGGGGTTTTTTTCATTTCCTTCTGGAAAATGTTCCAGCAGAATGACCAAGATACTTGATAAATATTTTTCCTTCACTGAAATTGAACTCTTCCGTGAGCAACAGAGAAGTGCCTGTGGGTGGTGGTGGCTGGCGGGCGCTCTGGTGTGGTTTGCTTCTTCTTTCCTATCAAACATCAATCGTCTTTATCGCCCCTCCTTCTTTTTTTGTGCTTGTTACTCTCTTGTAAACTCCTCTAATCTTCGGCACTAATATGACCTGATTGTGTTGCAAGTGCCGTAAAACACACTCTTACGAAAACGAAAGAGAAATGCCTAACCGCTATACCACAGACGCATATTGTGGTGTGGAAGAAGTGAATTTACACATACGCCACGCACTGCGAGATCTCTTCTTCTTCTATCCCATGGTTGGGGCAACTGTGGAGGCACCACAAGGAGGTTATAAGGTCCTTGGAGCACCAATACATCTGAAAACCAGATCTCGCCATTTCTCTTTGTCATCTGCTTTCCTCAGATTGTCACCCATCGTTTTCCCTGTTCACTCTTTGATGTTGTCCTCCCATCTTCTTTCTGCCTTCCTCTCTTTCTCTTTCCTTGTACTGAGAGATCAGTTGCTTTTTATTAAGACGAATCGCGAGCTTCATGCTTTCTTTACGTACTTATTTGTTGCGTACTTGGTTGGAAAAAAGTTATCATTGCAGGCGGTACAATGCCATGGCTGCTCCTCCCTCCTCTCCAGAATCCACCTCGAAAAGGTTGACCTTGCTAGCATGCTATCTTGTGCTAATTCCATTTTTTTTCTGGTTTTGATATGAATCACATTTTAAAGTATTGATTTTCAGTCTTTAAAAAACGGAAGTTAGAATGTAATGAAACTGAAATTCTACGGTATACGGGCATTAGATGTAACAATTTGGGGCTCAAATGGAAAGATTTTTCAACAACCAAATTGCTGAGACAGAAGCTCCCAAAAGTCGGCAGCGGGTGGTTGGCTGGTGCTCTGGTCTGGTTTGCTCCTTATTCCCAATCTAACATCTACCATCTTTATCTCACCTCTTTGTGTGTGTGTGTTTGTTACTTTGTTTTAACACCTCTGATTTTTTGTTGGCACTTGCATGACCTAAGTGTGTTGCAAGTGTCGTAAAACTCTTACTAAAACAAAAACAAAGTCGAAAAATGGAGTACAAACAAAGTAGCACCCAGATCAAGAAATGAGACGAAGACTAAAATGTCGGAGCAGCAAAAATCAAGAAGACACTAAAAGATAACTGTGGATATTCTTTTACAAGCACTCGACACATGGCAGGTGGTTGGAGGGCGCCACTGGTAGGTTCTACATCTTTACTTTCTCTCTGTTATTTCTGTCTGTCTGTCTGTCTGTCTGTCTATCTGTCTGTCTGTCTGTCTGTCTGTCTGTCTGTCTGTCTGTCTGTCTGTCTGTCTGTTTGTCTGTCTGTCTTCCCACCTGCTTAAAATGACCATCATTATGTCGATGTACTTCTGTTTACTCAAACAAACGTGACAGATGGAGAAAAAAATACTCTTTGCCAGAGCTGCACAATTCTTCTCCCGTTTAACTCCTCCTTTATTTCTCTTTACATAGTTACCTGACGCACTGATAGTATTATTAACACCTGGCTGAAATTTTCACCCCAAAGAAAAATTACGCTCGTCCTCGAAAGCGTGGGAAGATTCACGTGGTACCACATGTTCACTGGAGTCGATCCCATGAAATCGGAACGAAAGGGCTGGGGTTTGGGTCAGCCAAAAGAAACTCTTTTCAAAAGTGTCCATTTCCTTTTTCTCTTAAATAAGACATGTTATGTCATGTGCAGTCTGTGGTGGAATTATTTCTTCTTTTTTTTTTTGTAGCCCGTTCTTGAAGTAATCTTAGGCGGCATGAATGTTGCGATTACATGAAAAGAGAAGGCGTCCCAGCTATGTAACTTCCGCCGTTTCCATAACTGTCTCTTTTTAAATCTTATTGTATTTATTTATTTCATTCCTTTTGAGCGGGGGGGGGGGGGGTAATGAGATGCAACCTGCTGCAAAATTTCGTGGGTTAAACGCCTTAACACTTCTTTCAACGCGGTGGTTGATCCGTGTCCCCCGTTTTTGATGCCTTGTCTCAGGATAGAACAGAATGTATGGAGGAATAGATGACTTAGTTTAGTTTTAGTAGAGGTTTTACGGCGCTCGCAACTGCATAAGGTCATACGAGCCCCAGAAGATTAGAGGCGTTACAAGAGAGTAACATACATAAAAGAGAAGAAGGGGAGATAAGGACGATAGATGTTTCATAGGAAAGAAGAAGCAAACCACACCAGAGCACCCGCCAACCGCCCAGGAATAGATGACTGTTCTCTCCAGTTTTTGTTTTGTTTTGTTTTAGGGGAAGGGGTCCCCTTTGTTGTTGTTGTTGTTGTTGTTGTTGTTGTTGTTGTTGTTGTTGTTGTTGTAAGGTCACTGTTTTTCTTCTTTTCTTCTTTCCTCTTAGCTTTTTGTCCCAGCATCTGATTTGATGTGTGGGTGGGTGGCGGGTGCTCTGGTGTGGTTTGCTTCTTCTTTCCTATAAAACATTTATTGTCCTTATCTCCTCTTTTTCTTTTTTTACGTTTGCTACTCTCTTGTAACACCTCTAATCTTCTGGCGCTCATATGACCTTATGCAGTTGCGAGCACCGTAAAACCTCTACTAAAACTTAACTGATTTGATGTGGTTAGGCTCGTTGCTTTTTCACACAGATCATGTGAGTTCGATTCCCGAGTGGAAAAGGTTTTTATTTCTTGTCATCGAGTATCTTCACTTGTCTTCTTGGACGTTATATCATTCTAAGGTAGAGTCTAAGCACCCCAACACCTAAATCAAATACCTAAATTAATTCGAAACAGGCGTAAAACATTTACAGCAACAATGTTGAATTACAATGTTTCTCCTTTTTTCTTTTTCGCTTTTTGTCACCATGCAACGTTCTTGGCTATCATTGTGTCGATGATCTCCCTATTCTTCTTGATCCAAATGTCTTTATATCATACCCAGCGTATTCCCTTCAGTGTTCCCTCATGCATTATTTATGCTATTCTCTCATCGCACACGATATTATAGCGCCGCACACGATTCCGTCATAAAAATGTCTTATGTGACCCACGAATTTGCTTCACAAGCTCTCAATCCTCGCAGGAAACTTTTGAACTCTCCTCTCGAGATTGTAGATCATCGTCTTGAGCTACGGTTTTGTAAGCAGGGGCAAAACGACCGAAGGACAGTAAGCGTTTACTCAAGGGCGTTGCATTTGACTGCCATGGTATTTCATTGCTGCGAGCACATACATTATCTTTTGTTTCTCTGCGTGGAGTGTTTGTGTGTCAATATTTGCGGTCTTTATTAGCATGAGGCAGTTTGAGGCGTTCAAATAGGTTTGAGTTTTTCTCGAATTGTCCTGCGTCGTTCTCCTCTCAGTCTGTAGGTTTACATAAAAGTACAAATTCTGGGCTGGTGAGAAAGTCTATGCTTCTTGTGCGTGTCGGTTTTGTCGAGGTTTTGTTGGGGGTTTTTTTTTCTTGTCCTTCTTGTTCTTCTTACTCTTTTTGTTATTGTTGCTGTTATTGCTGTTGTTTATGTTGTCGTTGTAGCTGTTGTTGTTGTACCCCCCGGGTCGGTGTCACTGACTGAAGTGTCTTTAGGCCATTCCCAAGGGGGGGGGGGACATTTCTGGTTCATGCACAGTAGAATTGTAAATGGGCTGATTTATCAATGTCACGCTCATAACTGTGCCTGATCTACAACAGGGAACTGCTGTTTTTTCTTTCCTAATCCTTACTATTGTCATTTTCCTCTACTTCTTTTGTATGTTTGTCACACTCTTGTGACCCCCTATTTCCGAGGTGCCTTGAAAGTCGAAACAGACCTTGTGCTGTTGAAGCTAGAGCGGTGAGCAGATTAAGTCTGATTCCCTGTAAAAACTTCTCTGTTGACATCCACCCCTTGGCGCTCATATGACCTTATGTAGTTGAGAGTGCCGTAAAACCTCTACTAAATGTTGTTGTTGTTGTTTGTATTGTTGTAGTTGTTGTTAATGTTGTTGTCGCTGTTGTTGTTGTTGTTGTTGTTGTTGTTGTTGTTGTTGTTGTTGTTGTTGTTCTTCTTCTTCTTCTTCTTCTTCTTCTTCTTCTTCTTCTTCTTCTTCTTCTTCTCCTAAATAAGTAGTGAGCTTGGAGTCCGGGGTGTAGCGCTAATGCACTTCTCCATCGCACGCAGAGGGTACAAGTTCGAATGCTCTGTGACCGTTATTGGATGACTGTTATTGTACTGATGTTGTTGTGCTTCTCTTTACTCATACTAAACACTCAAACTAAAACTAAAAACCCGTAAAACTAATGGAGATGATCGTTCAATTTGATGTTTTCTTTCCTCTGAGTGGTTGGCGGGTGCTCTGGTATGGTTTGCTTCTTCTTTCTTATCAAACATCTATCGAATTTATCTCCCCTCTTTCTTTTTTGTGTTTGTTACTCTCTTGTAACACTTCTAATCCTCGGCACTTATATGACCTTCTTGTGTTGCAAGTGAAGTAAAACATTTACTAGAACAAACTTTCTTTTTTTTTCTTCAGAATACCCCTCACAGTTGCCTTGCCAGCCATGGAAAAACCGTTTCTGAAGAGAATCGCCCGGGCTCTGGGCGGGTTGTCCCAGCTCCGTGAGTCTGCCACATAAGGAAGATATTGGCATCAAGCTTTTTGTTACTCACCGTTCTCTTCATTTGGACTTTTCGTCGAGCACTGTTTTTAAGTTTGAATAAATAAAGAAGCCTCGCAATAAGCCTTCCCCACACTACTTTCAACGGCCCCTGATGTTTTCGTAAAAATGGGTCAGAACTCCTCAAACCCAGTATCTCCCCGGGCGGGGGAAAAGCGCACGCAATCCCCGCCCCCTCGACCCAGTGCCCCGCCCTCTAAACCACCCACCCCGAGGACGCCCAACTACGTAGTTCCCGAGAACAAGGTCATACACAATGGCATTGCAGATATGGGAAAAGCCAGGAAGCTTTTGCGACCCGTATCTCAAGAACTGACAAAATTCCACCCCGACTTTGCAGACATTTTCCAGTACAATCCTGAGATTCCTTTCAAACCTGGAGATGATTCTCTGTCTGTCGAGCAAGGTGAGAATGTTATCAAAGACAATAACAAAGAGAATTCCAGTGCACCCCTCATCCATTCGTTGTCTTCACCCCAGCTCATATCTGCAACAGATAAGCCAGGAAACGTTGCCAACGCTTCTAGCAGTAATTTCTCGAGTGTAAATACTTTTTCGAACGGCGATGTTCCTAAAGAAAACGGTCACGTTCCGTCTCCGACAAACGGATTTGAGAGCAACACTCTTGATATCACCCAACGCAAGCCAGAGCCTGCCTCAAACCTACGCCGATCACATTCTTTAGAACGCGAGAGAACCCAGCCAATGAAAGTGACCCGTCATCGTCGCCAAGCGTCCCTAACAACTGGCACGTCCCTTCAAGGGGCGGTAATTCCCGAAGACCCTCGGGAGCACTTATACAACGTTGCACGCCAGGAGCCATTTTCGAACGTCATGCCTAGTACGACGTCTCTCCCGCTGAAGAGTTCCTTCGACTTAGACTACTCTTTTAACGTGACCTACGCTCAGCTGTCTGAGTACCGCAGGCAGAAACGACTGAACGAGCTTGAAGAGAAAACAGGTAGGAAGATGGAGGAGATGAGCGCTGACATAACGGCGTCCAACACGGTACCCAAATCTCCCTTCGACAGACAGAATCTTGGGGGCAAGTCTGGCACCCACAGCGTTAGCACGGGCAGTTCTGAGACGGGTGTGAGTAAATCCAAAAAGAAGAAAGCACCTGCACCTCCACCTCCTCCAGGTGTTGCGCCAAAGAGAGACAAAAGTCCAGGTAACTTTTCACTCTCGACCGAGCCTCCTGCCGATTACGAGATGGAGGACATCTCCAGCAACAACTCTTCTCTGAACCGCCAGTCGCGCTCACTTCAACGAACGAGTTCCATTATCTCCCGAACCTCGCACTCGAAGTCGCCAGCCCCGACTCCTCTTCCAAAATCAAAGTTGGGCCATCGCCAGCTTGCGTCGATCAGCTCAACTCCAGCCCCTCCTCCGATAGGGAACTTAGGAACTGACACGACGCCACTGGCTACGTCTATCCCGCCAGCCCCACCCCTACCTAGCCACTTGCAGCAGACAACGCCAGCTCCAGCAGAGAAGACACACAATGTGGTTCAGAAAGATGCAAAAGTTTCTTCCCCACCTCAGAATGCTTTACAGAAGAGCATGTCGGATGCTCGAGCGCAGATTGAGGCTTTAAAGAAGTTAGAGGACGTTTTGAAAACACCTAGAACATCTGAAGAAAAAGAAACACCAAAACCCGATGAGGGCGAAGCGGTTGTGGATTCGGAAGAAGTTATCGCGCAACTGAACAGCGAAATTAATAACAACAGTGTCACAGAGAGCACTACGGATCTGAAAGACAGCTCTGCAAGTGGGGGTAACGATCCTGTTAACATGATTGATTCAAAAGTAAACCTGGTGGCCAAGGAGTCATTCACACTACCGACAGCAAGGGAGGAGAGTGGCTCAAAGTTAGATGCGTCCTTTTCTTCGACAGCTTCTGACGGAAAGTTACAGCCAAAGAGGATGAGCTCCCTGCTTCAGCACGACATTATGCTAGCCGCCCAAGCCCGGGGGTCTAAAGTGGTCAAGACAAAACCGCCACCAACGCTTGAGAAGCCAAAAGATCCTGCTGAGCTTTTCCGTGAGGAGCTGGCGAAAGCTGCAAGCGCCAGAGAAGCCCGTAGACAAGACGCCATTGCGAACGGGGTTGATAAAAGTAATCAGATCACTTCGAAGACCCCCGGACATAAAAAGAATGTACCTTTTAAATCAGTTTTCCAGAAAGTGTCAAAGAGAAACAGTTATGACAAAGATAAAGCCAATGTTGGTGGGAATTCCAGTCCTTTATTGAAAGAAGCTCCCGGCAGCGATAAAAAGAACATTCCTGATAAGGATGATCACGTGACAAAATTAACTGTGACCAGCAACACTGACGCAAATCCGGACAATGGGGATTTTGATCAGGAAATGAACGCTATTGGAGCCAACTTGGACTTCGATAAGCGAGGTCCTATACACCCAGAGAGCGTGAGCTTGACCAGTTCTAGCGGCGGTTCCCAGCGCGTGTTCTCTCCTAGCTGGACACCTGAGGATGACCTCGACTCCGATGATGACATCATGGATGAAAGCTATACACTGTCCGAGAGAAATGTCTCAACCGAAGGCTTCAAATCCTCTGTTATTCCCACGAAACTGAATGAGTTGAAAAACTCTAAGAAAAAGAAACAGAAGAAACAGAAAAAGCCAGAGGTAGCGCCGAAACAGAAAAGCCTCGATGACTTGGCCTCGGCAGAGAATGGCGACGTCAAGTCTGCCGCTGGTAGCATTCGCAAATTCAAGAAAAGTGTTCACGAGAGCATGAGGAACGCTTTCGACTCCATTAGCAAGGCTTCTGGGAAGCTACTGAAGAAACAAAAATCTTGCGAATTCCTCGACATTAGTAAAGAACTGCTTCCTCAACAAGGCCTTTCTCCGAGGGAGGAAAGAGCACAGGTTTCTCTAAATCCCAACTGGGAGATGTCTGGAACTCACGAAGGTTCTCTTCGGCGTCGGGTCAGCGATGGTTCAGTGAGCGTTCCGTACGAGAACGATGTCGACGGTATTGACATGTCGGAGGAAGAGTCAGACGCTGATGTTGGAGATATTGACTTTGCCAGTGGTATAGACGCCATTTCTTCGCCCAGAAGTTTGAAGATGTCAAGCGGTGCTGGGAATATGAAACAGCTCAAGAGAGCTGGGGTTGCTTATATGAGCAAGAACGGACAAATAGTTGTGCTCCCAGAATACGAGACTGTGAACGTAGACACAGAAGGTCGTGTCGTTGGCGAGTCTGGTGCCGCTGAGGAGGGCAGAGCGCCCAAGCTCTATAAGAAAAAGAACAAGAAGTTTTCTTACGAGTCCACAGTGAGGGTACAAGAGCGAAGTCGTCTAGACGAATCGTTGTCGAACGAAATTAAAGAAAAGGAGAAGCAGATAGAGATTGAAAGGCTTCGACAGAAGGAGATTGAAAGAGACTTTTTGAGGCTGAGAGACCTGGAGGCCCAAGAGCGACTCCAGAGACAGATCACAATGTTGCAGCAGCAGCAGGTACAACAGGCACACGCCAGCCTCAATAACAGCTCTACGGGGATAATGCCCATGGACCCGCTCCGTGTAGTGCCGAACACAGGGCCCATCCAGAGCTCTTTTGGGCACTCCAACCAGATGGTCAACTCTTCTTATATGCCCAATGGTCATGGGAGTTATATCGGAGGAGGAGCACCGGCACATAGCTCCTCCCACTTGGCCGGGAGCACGGCCCCGCTGTCACATCAGAGGTACAGCGTCCCTCCTACTGCCTTTTCCACAACAGTGTTGGGACACCCTATCTCCCACACATCACTGGCGGCAACTACACTAGACTCCGCCCCGTACGCCAATCATTCTGCTCCCATCATCGGCGGGGGCGGAGTGTCCTCTACTGGCACCCCTAGCGCATTTCCCAACCTATCGAGCCAAGACGTGGGCTACCTCAGCGAGTACATGCGGATGCTGGGCGTCACCCCGCCTTCCACTCAGCAACAGTGGGCGGTCCTGCTGAGCACCCTCAGCATCAACACTCAGCCAGGGTACACGGGGTTTGAATCTTCTCAGGGAACCCACCACGCCCACTCCGGCTACAACATTCCCAATCTCCATGGTCCGGACCTGTCTCAGATTTTTAGCGGTAACGTTGGTGGGGGGAAAACTCTAGAAAGCACGACCATGGGCTCTAAGAAACAGGTGATCAGTCTGATAACAGGATCTCAGAGCCCCGTCATGGGAAGAGACCTGTCTCCCCTCCAGCGCATTCCTCAGGACGGCCTGTACTATAAAACACTACTGCAAACAATGATGGAAGCAGCAGCCGGCAGGGAGGGGGGTCTTCAGAACAATTACCCGGTCCAAGGCCACAACCAGCAAAACGCATCACTTCCTCCTCCTCCTCCTCTTCCTTCTTCTCATTCTCTTTCACGTACTGCTACAACATACAACACAGCAGCAGAGGAGACAACAACACCACCAACAACAACAACAAACCGTCAGTCTCATCATCAACCTATGAATACCGTCACCGACAACGATACAGCAACTACAGTGACGGCAGAACGAAACGGTTTCCCTGACGACAAAGCTAGTTCCTCTCGAGACCTCACCAATACCACCACCACCAGAATTACTGTAGTTAACTCGCGCAAAGAAAACGAGGGCATGGCTCGTATTTCGGTGCCGGACTATGCTGGAATACAACAGCAAGACGAGCGCATGGATTACACATCCGAGGGGAACGACAATGGGAATTTGCCAGCAGAGCCCGCCAACGGCGAGGTACGGTCTGGAGACACAGCACCATTTGGTCAAAGGGCGGGCCGGCCCTTTTCTGGGATACCTGCTAAAGTGTATGGGCCTTTGGGATTTCGCCCCGTCTCTTTCCCGGCTAGAAGCTCCTGATCAAAAGGTGATTTTTTTCTTATCTTATCACTCTCTCTCTCTCTCTCTCTCTCTCTCTCTCTCTCTCTCTCTCTCTCTCTATCTATCTATCTATCTATCTATCTATCTATCTATCTATCTATCTATCTATCTGTCTGTCTGTCTGTCTATCTATCTAAATATCCGTCTGTCTATCTATCTGTCTGTCTGTCTGTCTGCCTGCTTGCCTGCCTGTTTGTCTGTCTATCTATCTATCTATCTACTCATTTTTGGAAACCTTATTCTCTTTGTCCTGTTTTCTCGTTATCCCTTGATCCTTTTCGTTATAGCTTTTGTGTGTTTTTGCTTCTTCGCAAAGTAAGGAGTTGTTTGTATAAACGAAAGCGTTGACAAGCCAGTGGTAGTATACTTATGTACTTATTGTACAAAACTAAACTAACTATAGTCCACGACACTTGATCAATGCGTACGCATCATCAGTCAGTTCCACAGTATTAGAGAAAAGAATTAAAATAAATAGCCTTAACCTCACACTCTGAAATTAGGAAACATGCCGTGTGCAGTTCAGAACTTTTCAATAGCATGTTCCTTTTGGCGACTGGCATATAATTTAGTTGTTTTCGTTTGACCCTCGCCTTTCCACACCCCATGCCCAGAGTCACGCCCATTGCCACGCCCATCCACGTCACGCAGTGGTTCTAAGCTCGTTGTTTTTTTTAGGAGGGGTTTGTATAATAAATCCACAGCACACCATTCGAAATTATTCTTTACATTAACATCAGTGCACAGGTCTAATAAGATTATACCAAAGATAGTACAAGACAAGATGGGCCACTTCTCTCTTTGAGCCAATTAAAAAAGTGTCCTCAAAATTTGGTGGCGCCCTCTTCACAAAAGCGCACTCTTTGCGAACAGAGTTACCCTACTTGAGTTTTAAAAAATCAAAGTGAAACTAGCAAGTTTTGGGATACATTTAGGAAGAACGCTTTTTAAAAATGGTTACGCTGACAAAAAACCTCTTCCGGAGGAAAAGGAGATGGCTTTCTTCGTTTAATTTGACTTTAGAATGAAGGGCGAGAGGATATTAAAATTAAAAAACCCCTAAAACTCCGCACTGAACGTACCCGAACTGCTGGTGAACTTGCAGTCGATCTGTGCACGCAAGGAGGTGCTATTCCTATTCTTCTTCTGGAAAAACGAAAGAGAGCTTCAAAACAGACTGCAGCGCCATCTGAAGCAAAGAGCATACTTCCTGCGGACACTTTTTAGGCTGAGTGGCCCATCTTGTCTTGTACTATCTTTGATTATACATACGTTCATAATTACGACAAATATAATTATTATCAACGTTGCCTCGTCTCCGTACTTTGCAAATGTCTCTCATCTTTAGTTTCTCTCTTTTGTTTCGGTCTGCCATTCTTACCTTTTCCCTGCAAGAAATGGCCGTTATTGCATTTACGTTCTTCATTTGACTTTAACTTGCAGTTCCTCTCGTATTCATAACAACAACCAGAAGACCAATTAGTATTCCTTCTTCGAAATCATCAATAATCCGACTGATGTGAAATGCCACTCCCACCCCCTACCCGCCTCAAATCACTCCACCCTTTGCCAAACTTTTCGACCCTGCCTGAGAGGACCAACCTGGGCTGTGGGACATAACATTATTGTTATTCCGAGATACCTAGACAACTTTGGGGGTAAATTAATGTAATTAAGTACTTTCTTTCTTAAATTCTTCTTTCAGAATTGTTCAAAACTGTGTAGAGCGTCCTTCTTAGCTATCATAAGAGAGTCAATTGAAGATACGATTGAAACCAACATTATTTCGTGGGCGGTTGGAGTGCGCCACTAGTAGATCCTATCTCTTCACTTTCCTTCTGATATTTCTGTCTATCTGTCATATCGTGTACCATCACTAAATGACCACTATTGTGCCGGTATGATTCTCTTTACTCAAACAAACAAACAAACAACATTATTTCAGAAAAAAGAATTGTTTGACCTACTTTGCTGGATACACAGTTGTGTTCAGACCCCGACGATATGTGATATAAAAACAACCAAATAAAGCAAACGTCGTACCATTCCCCTACGTCTGTGTGTTGTACAGACTTAACAGCCTCGCATAAATCTGCCGTCTTTCGTAAAAGTACAGTATATGCAGTTTTTATTACAATTTTATAGGATATCCAAAAAAACTGAATGTTTGTACCAAGAAAACAACGTTCTCTTTAAAGATAATAAAGAAGTTATTACCAAAATTGTATTCTTAAAAATATTGACCTCGGGTGTTAGTAAAGAGCTTGTATTCTTGGTAACAACATTCAGTTTTTGTTGGCGCTCCTGTAAAATAAAATAAAAACTGCATGGTTATTATACTGGATTTCTTAAAATGAGAGACAGAAATATTGCATAGAGTAAAACTAATATACCAGTGTGTTTGATATTATAATGTCTTTGTCATGTCCTTTGAGCATAATACAAAGACGTTAGCGGGCTAGTCAATCAAATTTGTATGAGTGCACGAAACCGTCGCTTTTCTTTTCATGTACAGAGGACTATCGCTTTTCTAGATCCGTTAAGATGAATAAGAACAAGGTCAAATACGGGCGACGATAGTCGTGTGGAGCACGTGAAAATACAGTACATAATATTTCAATTAGTTCAGTCTGGCACTATGCCAGAACTGGTTTACAAGACCGCATGACATTCTAAATTGAAGATTTCACATACGTATGTAAATATATAATGTATTAATGTTTACGCGCATGCACAATAATCATTTACATAATATTGTTCAGTCATAACGTATACTTAATTTTGTATAATTGTACAGAATATAACATATTTATATACATTGTATATACATGTA